GGGTCCATGGACATTATCAAGCGCCAGGGTCATACTATCAGCGCACTCAAGGCACCTTAGAGGAGAGGGCGCCTTGCCATTAGTGGGAGAAGTTAACATTCAATTGCCAACGAAACAAATGGACTGTAACAACGCAGTGCGGATCCTTTGCCTGCAAGTTGGAGTTGGCAGCGGTCAACCGAGAGTTATATGTGCACAGCTACTAAACTGTTCTCTGTATGCTTTTTAAATCCGGTAGACTTCAGGTTAAGCCAGCTTGAAATTCGACTTCGCATTCTATGCAACTTTTAAGATCGTCCTAAGAGGAGAGGCGGCCTTAAAAAAAACTAGATGAAAAGCTTGCCTACACGTTTGTCTCCGTTTATAGCGTAAATACAGTTATTTTCAGGCTCTGTCTGAGCGTTGGTTTGCGTCCTAAATGGCGTTTGACGATGATGCCGATGCGCAAGGGTCTTCAATATGCGCCAGAAAGTTTTCTCAAATAGTTTCTAGCAGCGATTGAAAGAAAATGTAACTCCAACTTGGTCTATTACTAACTAATCCTCATCTATACTGACCGATTCTAGAGCGAATTTTCGGTTGCTACAAGTAAAGGATTACCTACCTAAGGTGATCGAAAGTTCATGTATCCGCGTGATCTGTGATCCACGCACCGGTCAACCCCTACTTTCCATAATGACAAAGCGCTCTTCTGTAATACCTGTTTCACTTAAACAAAAGAAGGCCTCTTTCACTTAGGTTGCGGGCTCGATCTTCCACAGTCCTTCTAAATTGCTCTCAGGAAAAAAACTAAGTCCCACCAAGAATACGAAATTTAACAGAAAATGCCCACCCACAAATTTACCCTAGACACGTGTTTAAATCGCAAAAAAAACATTTATCGGTATAGGCAGGCTTTCCTCGTCGTCTTGGGGCATTTAACGGTGTTCACGACCGTGCTGATCAGCGTTGATCAGTGCTTATCCCTACCAGTATACCTTCATCAGCCGTTAATACTCATCTCGGGCCGAGGATAGGGAGAGGGGAGGGGGTGCCGCCGATCTCGGTGGCACAATTAGCGTAGGCGTTTGCTTGGGCGGTGATTCCTACTCCACCGCCCGCGCCAGCATGGCCTCTCGCGTCTGCCTTTAAATTGTTGGCTTCATTTGCTGAGGTATGTACATAGGATTTGATAATTCACATCTATCCTGTTGTGGTACGGTGTCCACTTAGCAGGGATTAACCTTTCTAAGCGCCTTGGCACCTCGCCTAATGCGAGTTCTTATCTACACGACAGAGCCTGCTTGATAAAATCTACAGCAGACCCCGAATTTGTGTGGAGGAGTTTTTGTCATAGGAGGTGAGGCGAGGATTTTTTTGGCTTCGTGTTCTCTTGCTGAATCATCGCTTCATTTCGCTGAGTAACGCCCATCTTCACAAGTTGAAGGAGATGGCCGACAAATTCCGACACAG